CCAATGAAAAGTTGGAAAAACAAAGATGAACGGAAGAAAAAAAAACGTGCACAAACAGTACAGTACGTGGTATTTCGTGGGTCCGCAGTACTGACAACCTCGTGGCGGTTTGACTTTCCAGACCGGACAGAATGAGGTTACTTTTCCTCAGATATGACCTTGCCCAATTGGGCGACAAGTCGAGGTTTTTTTAAAAGCCTAACCGTAATATACAAATTACAAAAAAATTAGTGGAAATTTTAAAGACCTTGGTCGTGAGAAAGTCACCTTATATTTACCATACTTTTTTAATTCTAGTTTTTAAAATTTAATTACCATTTATAGTTATCTAAGAAATAATGTAAAGAAAATGGTATGCGTATGATAAACTTATTTTACTTAACCCCAACCTAAAAACTAGAATATAAATTTTGATTCAATGTTAGCTGGTGTAAGTATAATTGATAAGAATGGACCTGGCAAGTTAAGAGAACGCACATTAAGTCTACAAAAAAGGAACTGTAATTTCAGCATAGTGATATATAAGAAACATATATCGTAACCTTAGCGTGATTAGAGAAGGAGATAAGAAGGTACGCTTACTTTAAAGATTAACCTCTTCACACATAAAAGTACTTTTTTTTCTTTACATAATTTAAAAGTGCTTCATTTTATCACAATTATCTTTGTTATACTATAAAATCTAACAAGTATAAAGTGTAATAGTATCTAATATATGCCATCATGCTATTTAAGCACCACTACGCCATCTTAGTATTATTGTGAACTATTTCAACGTTAAGAGAAATTTTACTATATAACAAAGTAAAATCATTTACTACGAAGAATAACTTAAAACTATTTTAATATTTTACGGATGAAGAAACTTAAGAGGACTTGAGAAAGTGTTAAATAATACAAACTTATAAACGAAGCTTTGAAAACTTTAATAGAATGCTCATTATTTAACAACCATTTCAGGTAAAATTGTTATTTCATGAGGCGCTGAGAAGTTAACTATAAAATCAATTATTTTATAATCAAAATGATGAAGGTAACAGATAATTTTTTTTATTGTAACCACATTTTGGATTAGTACTTAGTACAGAATTATGAAGAGGTAATTTATAATTATTAAATTTAGGCGTTATAAAAAATATTATTGAAAACCTAGTTCTTTCTTATTAACTCTTCAAGATTTTAAGCTATTTATCTATGTATATGACCCACCAAAAGTGTAAAGGTCACTATTTTGTAATTTCCAGCTACTTTTATATTCTTTGTAACCGAAAGCCTTAAATTAATATTTTAAAATACTTTTTTAGATAATTTCGTTCTAAAAATGGAATTGAATTGATTAAGTCAGTATAGAGAAGGACTTAATTTGTATAGATACCAAAAAAAGAACTGATAAACCCAACCGCTTAGCTTTAGTGTAAAGCTTTTACACTGTCATACATACATAATCGTACAAAACTGCGCAAACAAGCAATATGGGTTTCGACCTCATGGAAAATGTGGTAAATATCATTTTTTTGTTTTTTGATAATGGATAATTTAATATTATCATTTAAAGGCAACCGCTAAACTTGAGTGCCATAGTCTTGGCTTGTCCAAGAACTCAATCGTAGAGGGTACACTAATGCAAACTGTTATATTTTAAAGCATTTGCATTTTTTACAGGTATATATAACGTATTTAAGATGTGGAGTTGCAGTCTCAATTACGTCAAGAAGTAGTCGGCGCTACCAAAGAAAATCCATTAGTTCTTAAAGAGTATTCAGAATGCTCACGACGAATTTCAGAGGTAAATTTTAAGCTTGTTTATGTCATAAGCAATATTTGACATATAGTTTCTTTGTAACTTTTTTCAGTTTGATAGGTTGTGAGACTTTCGAGGGTTCACTTAAACTTACTGATAAATTTAATAAGCAACGTGAATATGAATATTGGGAATGTTCTTATTCTCCTATTACATCCTCCCTTGCTCATGTTAAAAGTCTTGGAAGCAAAAGACATCGTCTCCGTTCTATTTATAATCCGAACATCAACTCGAGAAAACTTTCACTTGATAGTAAAAAACATGATAGTCAAGTCGAATAAAAATAAAATTCCAAATATTTAATTATTATGCTATGTTTATACATAATATGTAGATAAATATTGTCCTGAACAGACTATTCTAAAAACTTATATATAATAAATTACTAAGTCAAGTGACGTTGCTTTTACACAAAGTTATATTCCTAGAGCACTATGCGATGTTTGGCTTACTCTGATCACAAAAAACCTAATTTAGATTTGTAAAGGTAATATTATGTCGTTTTGTATACTTTTTGCTTAGTTTATAAGCATAACTCCTAAAAAAATTAAGTAAAAGATGGTTGGAGAAAAATAAGGTTAGTGGAAATATTAACATTAAAAGCGCCAAAGGTCAAATGCATAAATAAGGCAATTCAAGATTATTAAAAAAGACAGAAAATTGGCAATTTAGATCTCAGAAGAAAGGAATAACTTGGTTATGGTTAGGTTTCCATTTTTAAATGATCAGTTTATTTTTGTTATTAAAATTTTAGCTACTATAAGAGTTAATTTTAAAGACTGATTATACAAAAAAACGTCTCTGAATAAAAATAGAAAGCTACTGTTTTTTGTAACAGCTCGAACGAGAATCTGGTTGCGATAATTTCTTTTTGTACGTTGATAATTTTCTAAGGTAAAAGTTATATTTCTAACTTTTTGCATGAGGTCCACTAGCGTATTAAGGCAATTTTTTTAAAATTTTAAGCGATTTCCATTTTTCTTACAATGAAAACCCCGCTGGAAGCAATCATGGCCAGTTTTTAGAAAGCTTTAATTCCTGTTTTTGACCGCCCCCCTGGTATTGGTTTCTTGAGCCTTCTTTGTGATTTAATACTAAAATTGCTCTTACTTTATTTAAGCTATACGCAAAACTGATTTAAACATTATTAAATTGTATCATACTAAAACAACGCTTTTTTCGAGCGATCCCGTGCTTTACAGTTTTTCTTCGGATAATTGCGAGAAACCTGAACTAATCATTCTAAATTTTTCAGCCAATGGGGTAGTCCTATTTTGATTAAACTACTAAATTTGGTTTCCTTTTTTTAAAACGCAAGAATTGTGCTTATATAAAAATGCTATCAAATAGTTGATTAAAAGTTTTTTATTCCTGTATTTAATTAAAGTTTAAGTAGCAAGATCGTTGATATGTAATATCTTGTTTAGCATATGCTTGTATTCCTGAGGCGATAGTTTTTTAGTCATTATTTCCGCGGGTTTACTGTGGTATGGTAGGTATGATATTTATATAGGGATTTCTGAATTCTTCTTTTATGTAGTGATATGCAATTTCTACATGGTTTAGTCTTCTATTAGGAGCGTTTCCTCTATTGGTGTGGCTAATGGGTCCATCGTCTATGTATATTAGCACCAGCTTTTTCGGAAAAAATTTCTATAATAAAGTTTTTTTCGAGGGCTTTTACCTCGGCAATGGCTTAGCTCGTGGCACCATATCTTGCTTCACATGTAGATTAGCATATTTTGCTTCTGTCTACATTAATTTTCCATTTCACTACGTTAATAATGGTGATTATGTGACCTATGGTTGTCCTTCTGTCAAATGTATCTGCCCAGATTGAGTCTGAGTAGCATCGTATTTGTATAGGTGCCGAGTTATCTTTTCTAAGATATAAAGAGCGCCCTTTCGTATTTACTAGGTAATTGAGAACCCGTTTTGCTGCTGCTAGATGGGTATCGTCATTATTATGAAAAAATCTTCCTAGTTGTGAAATGGAAAAAGATATGCCCGGGAGTGTGAAATCTGCTGTATACCTAAGGCTTCCTATAAGACGTGCATAGTCTTCTCGCTTCATTAAAATTTGGCGGTTTAAGTTGAGTTTTCGCCAAAAGTGGCCATTTAATTTTCTTGCTAGGTTTTATTTCGTGACCATCGCCTAGTTGTGTTATGAAAGTCGCTTTATTAATTAGAATTCCATTAGTAGTCCCCTCAATGTCTAAGACTAGAAACCTATTCATGCGTTCATGATACTAAGTCTTAATCTTTCTGAAGTTTGTACAATATGTAAGATTGGACTCCGAATATGAAACAAGCATCTGTGTAGGTTCCTATTATAGTTTCACGTCCCATAGAGTAGAAGACGCACTTGTCGGTGAGAGATTGTTTAAATTCGTATTTCATTATGTTAAATGTGAGGTTGCGATAAAATATTCCGGCTGACTACTTTCGCTTATAAATTGCAACCTTAACTTTGAGCACACATTTTATTTTCTTTTGGTAGGGTTGGTTGAGTAGGTAGCCTTGTTGTTGGTTTGTTCTTGATTAGCTGCAAACCTGGGGGTATATGAACCTGGATAGGATTTAGAAGTTATATATAGTAAAACTGCGCCATAGTTGTCAGTGTCCGTAGTGTACTTTAATCGAGAATTAAAATATGTTTCATGGTAGTCAAAACCTTTCTCTTGCATATATTATCTGGTATTGAGTCTACCTTTATAACGACTGTCATACTGCTTTATATGTAACTTCCACTTGGTTTGCATTATTTTAGTGTTCTAGGGTAATTCAGATCGACGAATTAATGTAAATCCTTTGTGTCTCAAGATCACTTCCAGCTCAAGCATAGCAGCTTTTTTAGAGTCCTCTCTATGGGGTTTCCCTATAGCTTCTCCCAAGGTGGAACAATGTTGTTAAGTAAATTTATCTTTGATGGGACCATGTCACCCTCTACGACAATAAAGGCATTAATTTGATCTAAAGCTAATGAAGCTTAACACGGTCACTTTAATTATTCACAAACCTTTTCTTTGTGGATATGGTACCTTCCTGTTTGAAGCTCTAGGATGTGGGCAGAACGTTATTTAGAAGAAACGTAGTTACAATAAACTGGCTAATTTAGGTTATGTCAGGGACGCACGAATCGAAAGAATTGCTCTTAAAATGGTAAAAACTACAAGTTGTATAAAGTCCTGTGACAAGTTCTGTATTACCTGTATGTGAGGGTGCAATCTTAGCGAACTACCGGCCTGATTCCTTGTACCTTCGGGTTAAATAACGAGAAAACTTGTGGCTCGAATGATTACTTTATAGCTTTGAAATAAATAGGCTTATTAACCTTGCTAAAGTAGAAGCTTTGCCTTGAGTGCTAATATTGTCTTTCGGATAGTTTTCTTATTAGACGCCGCTATGAAGATCTGTTGTAGTCAAATTGAACACTATTCTAAACAATTGATGAAAGCAGCTAAGTTATGCATAACGATACTACTTCAATCCGAAGTTTGTAAATGCGAATGAAGGCCACAGAAGCAAGAGCTGCATAATGAGTGATGTTCTAACAAAATTCACGTTCTGTCCGGAGCTTTGATGCAATCAAACTTAGGTTAAACATACACAAACATGTACATAATATATACATAATAAGTTGTTAAATGTACGGTTGCAATAGTGTCATTATTATAGTATAATTAGCGCGACCTGAAAATTGTGCTGTTTTCACCCTTTAAGATTTTGTAATGGGTGACCCATTCCGCTGTGGGTTTTCGATTGCTAGTAGTTTCGACTCATAAGTTGACCGTTAGTGTATTATTGGGCTAGGTGGGTTTCCGTTCCAAAACTTTGTTTTAATCTTCTCGACTTCCTATAGTGATTCCTTCTGGTGTGGCGTATGTCTATGGGTAGTCTTCAACGTTTCTGGTCTTTTCTTCAATATTTTTGTCTGTGAATGGTTTTATTGAGGGGTAAAAGTTGTTATTACTTTTTTGTTTTGTTACTGTGTTTCTTAGGTATCCTTGATCGATCTTTCTCGTTAAGTTTTTGTCATTGTGGTTAATTTTGACGAATCCAAATTTGGTTTTTCTTTGACATCTGCGATTGGCTCCAAGAATTTTATTTTAGTAGTGTGTAAGTCTTGTGTACCGTTTTTTTGGGTCTTCATCTGGAACTACTGTATTTGTGTCTAATTCTTTAATCTTGTCGTCTTGTTTAATTCGGTGATTTCGTTGGTCGTTTCATCCTTCCTTTAAGTTTGTGGAACTTCGAGTTTTTTTGAATTTTCCAGTTTAGCAGTTTCGTTATCTTTGAGAGTGACTTTTTTATCCTCTTAAGACCCTTGTATTTGTGTATAAGCTATATTTCACGTTCTTTTTAATGGACGTTGTCCAATTTTTAGGGGTACGTATTTTCAAAGCACACCACATTTCGTAATTTAATGATTTTTCTTGTTTCTCCGTTTAAGATTCCGTATTCGTCTTGTGCGCTGAGGTTGGGTGGTGATAGCAACATTCCGTTTATTGTGCGGTCTTGCGACTTAGTTTTGTGTCCCGAATTGGGTATTTTGACTTTCCATAAAAATAGTTTGTAATGTTGAATAGATCTCTTTTTAATACTACAGTTCCGTTATTACGGGGAGGTCGATTAATTATAAATACTGCGTTAGTCAGCACCTCGTCCTAGCATTCAGGGCTTGATCCAAATTTTTTAGTATACAGCTTGTCATATTGCATATGTTTGAATAAGATATATCACAGAGCATATGACTACCTTTAGGAGTGGTCGATAATATAATTCCGACTTCCTGTATTCGTTTTAAGAGCTCTTTGTTGACAACTTCCGCACCACTATCTACTCTGATTTCTTCTGGGATTGATGGCTTATATTTATTGTTAACGCGTTTGTTAAGTATGTACTTATTATGTGCCAATACCCAGTCGGAAAGGCTGTGGTCAATCTGATCTTTGATCCTGGTGAGCTTAATAATTATCTTTTTAGGCCAAGCGTCTGTTATAATTAAAGCGTATTAGTTTCCAAGTTTGGTACTTTGTCCTACTGCAGTGTATTGATGTATAGCAGTTCACCGGGTTCCTTCTGTTTACGATGCTGATTGTACGGTTGTAGTTCATGTATTATAAGTTTTAGTTGCTTGCAACTGGTATGTCCGTTATGTGTTCGTCGTTCAGGTTTGCAAAGTTTCTCTATTTAAGTTGAAAATTATGATTTTGTGGAACATTACTTTGGTAAAGATCGTTTTTTATATTCTCTCTCGTCACTGAGTGTACGTTTATTCGGCTTTTTGTGACCATTTAGCTTTGAAAGTCGTGGTATACCCTCTTTTACCCTGCTTTCCGATTGACAGAAGATTGTTTTTGAAGAATTTGTAGAACAGAACTCTGCCATGGCCAAACATATTAAGTTTTCCTACAATTCTTTGTGTATATTCTCCCTTATATTGTGTGTATGATGCTGTTTTCGTCTTTAATATAGTATATTAGTTATTCCTTGATAATGAGTGGATATGCGGCAGTGTCCACAGTAAGTGTAAGAGGGCGATAACCCTCAACTCAGAGAGAAGGGCTTTGTTGGAGGTTTGATTTTGAAGAAGCATAATGCTAGTATCGTGGTCGATTCAGGTTCACCCTCATAATTTATTAGATTTCTACTGTTTTGAAGTATTGACGCGTATGTAGTTAAGTTTGCGTTCCTTCTTTTTTTTTTAACAAGCTGTTTCAATGTGCCCTACATTGTGGCAGGATGTGTACTGGGAAATTTTATACTTACAGTATTTATGATTGTGGAGCGCGTTACATCTGTAACACCTGCATGCCATCTCTGTGTGCCTAATAACTTGACAATAGGTGTACTGTTTTTCTTTGTACTTGCATTACTGTGGCGGATGATTACCGTTGCAGCTAAAGCATTTAGTGTTATGAAGTTTATTTTGTTGTGTTATGGTGGACAATGCGTTTCCACTGATGTCGCTTTAGTTTACAGACATTTGTGTTTCACCTGTTTTCGGCATGAAGTAATGAGTTTAGTGCATATGCATAGTCAATGTTTTCTACGTTGTTGCTGTAGTATTGGTCTAATGATATTGCGTCAAACTTACTTCACCGCTTTGGTAGATTAAGGCGATCACCTTAAGTGAATCAGTAAATTTAGGTAGGTTATTTGCCATCTCTTTAATAGTGCACTGCTCCTGGATCTTAACTGCAAGATGGTAAAGTCTGTTGGCAAATTGATGTTATTTATTTATGTCTATAACGTTAGGGCTTGAAGCTTACAAATGACTCCCTGCCCTTAAAAAAGGGTCGACCAATTTTTGAATTGGAATTTTTTTTTGCCATGAGAAGTAAGAAATATCTGAATACATATAGTCTATCTACCACTATGCAATAGGGTTAGGTTTTTAAGATCGGTAACACCATTTTAAACCAAGAGTTTTCCTTCAAGAGATCTCTTAAGGTGGCATTACTCAGCGAAGTTTTCGTCCAATTTAGATTGTAGGGGCTTGCTACCATTATCTAGCCCCTTATTGTTAAAGGTCTGCATACTTTAAAACTCTGCTTCGAGCGGCGTTAAGGTATCTGAAATCACGTGTTTTAGCTTCGACATGTGCAATGAGCGTGGCCCTGTAAGCGCGCGCAGGTTCCTTTTAATGTAATATGGGGTTACGTATAACCTTTTATCCGAGTTCTTGTGTTAAGTATTCTAGTTGATAATATACACAACCCTTAAAAATTGATTAAGAGACTCCGTAATAGGATTGCTTAAAAGTTATCTATAATAATTACAATCAGAAGGACCCCTTGTTGTAAGGAACTTTTTATAAATTGATAAGACATCTTATGCCTCCTTGCGATGTTATTTTTTCTCCAGCCAGTTTTTAGGTCGAGCTTATGTTTAGATTTTTTCGCTCTCGTCATTTTTGATATAGCGATAGCAACATTTTCAAGTTTTACTTTACAGACAATTATGCGCAGCTTATATAATTAAACTTTTTTATAAAATCCCTTTTTTTAATTTATGGTGATTTCTTTTTGTGTAATGATAAGTAATAAAAGTTAAAGAAGTGCACTTTTTGAAATGGAGAGCTTTGCTAAAAAATTAAATATTATACTTCTTTTTTTTGCTTTTTAGCATCGCACTAAACACTTTTTGTTTTTAGGATTTTCTCTTGAAAGTTTTTTTATGAACTTGATCTTTAAAATTTTTTAATAGTTTATTACCCTAGAAAGCTTAACATGTTAGCTTTTTATTTTTAAAAAGTTATTTTCGATATATTTTTTTACGTTATTATATCGGTAACTCAGGCTTAAAGAATCTTAAGATTATACGTTACTTATAATTTTCTTTCTCTACAATTTAATTATTATTTTAATTGTCTATTTTAGTCTTTCTTTACACAGAATCAATAAATATCTCTCACATCTTCGCGCATTCTATCAAAGTTCACGTAATTTACAAGGAAAATATGAGTGGGAAGATCCACAATCTATAGATGAAGTCGTTAACTTGGTCGCGGTTTTACGTGACGGTTCAAAAGTTCCAGTTGTAGGAAAAGTCGGGGATAATTTACTTTTTCTGTGCCACCGAAGGGGAATTGATTTAGAAGGCGCTTGTGAAGCTTCTTTAGCTTGTTCGACTTGTCATGTTTACATCGAAGTAAATATTACATATCGTTTTGCTGTAAATGAATTTTAAAAACTTTTATTAGAATATTTTATAGTAGTCCTTTTAGGCTAAAATTTTTTATTATATATTATAATATGCTATTGTATAAATCATTAGATCCTTCACACTTTATTCTATTATTCTTTTAAAATATTATTAGTAAAAATCCTTATTTTAATATTACATAACTCGGCCTCCAACGAAGCGAATTTTTCATGATAATAAAAATTTTAAATTTGTTTATTGGTGCTATTTGGATCGGTATATCTGAAAGTTTTTTTTAATATAATTTAAAATTTATATTCAATTCATTTTGGTTTGTAATTTCTTTTTATTTAAAAAACTTGGAAAATCTTTATTTTGAATTAATTAATTTAGAATAAGGTGCTTTTTAAAAAAAATTAAAGAGTTAGAAATTTTTTTTATTAAATTTTGTTTTAAACTTTTTCTTAGGAAAGTTACTATGATAAACTTCCAGCGCCGAAAGAAGAAGAAGAGGATACTTTAGATACTGCTGTTTTTCTAAAAGAAAATTCACGTTTAGGTTTGCTAATTTTCAACTATTTTAATTTTCATCTGCTTTTTTTTGATAAAAATACTATTTCATTCATTCAAAATTTTTTATATTTTATTAAATTTTAATCTACATTCCGTTAATATAAATTTTTATAATTATTAAAATCGTGTTGTTTTTTTATTGTTTATTAAATTTCATTAGCTTTCCATTTGCTTTTAGTTCATATAATTCTATGACATTCATGTAAAAACTCGTTTGTAGTTTCTTTATTATTTTTGTTTAATATTGTTAAGGTATATATATTAAAGTATATATATAATAATTTTGACTTTTGTATAATTTTATTTTGTTTTCTTGAAGGTAACCGAAGAAAAATTAATAAAACTAGTTAATTTCCTTTCGAGATTTAGTAAAGTTGTTATAATTAATTAATTTATGGAGTTTTTAGTGGTGGTAACGTGCGAATATGTTACTTTGAAAACTTTAGCACTAAAAAGTAAATTATTTTTTTTAAAAAAATTTAAAATTAAAATTAGCTGAAGTATAAAAAACGGACGTGGGTTATAAAAGGAATTACTTAAAGTTAACAACAATTTTTTATTAAAATCAGCTTTATAATGTCGATAAAAGGATAATATATTAGTAAAAATTTGGGTGAAAATCAAATTTTACTTGAAATATAATTTCAAGGTCAAATTTGTTTAAATAAATATTGATTTCTTTACTTTAATTATGAAATTTCTATTTCACATCTTTTTTATAAGAAAATAAGAATTTTATCTATTTTTAAAATTATTTGCTTTAGTTATTTAATTATTTACTTTAAATAATTTTTTTAATTTGAAATTTAATTTAAAACTTATTCTAAAAAAAAAAAGTATTTTATTTTTTTTCGGTACATTTTTTTCTGGTTACTCTGTTACATACTTTTTTATTACCTTCATTTAACCTAAAAGAGTATAATCTTTAAAAGCCTCAAAAGTTTTTAAGATTTACTTTAAAATAAGTTAGTTTGTAGGTTTGAATTGAGATGATTATATTATTTTTATTAGTCGTGTCTTAATTTAATTAAAATAATTAACAATTTACTTTTCTTTGTATTAAAATAAGCATTTTACTTATAGAGAAAAAATTTAAGAGTTTTAAACTAAACCATTTTATATAAAACTTAAGTTAGTTAAGAACAAACCAGCTTCACCAGCATTACGAAGATCCAAGCTATCACTTTCTTTTACGGATGTTATAAGGCAATAAACAGGTGGTTTATCGGAATATTTATATATAGAAAATGTTGGAAAGTCACTAAATACCGTGAAAATGTTAGCGTTTTCAGCATTTCTAATTTTTTATATTTCTACAAGTTTTGCTGGAATGTTATATAATTTATTATTTATATATTTTTTTGGCTGGTACATAATTTTATTGGTTACTGTTATTATTTACTTTTTACTATTTAAGTTTTTATTTTATAATTTATATATAAACGTTTTTAATTAGTTATTATATATTTTTTTTTGCACATTTTAGTAGAAATGATTATTTCTACTTTTATAAATTTTAAATAATAGAAATAAAAGTTAAGTTACATCCCTTTTCTCAGGCTTATTTTTTTTTGGCTGGTCAACAATTGTACTGATTATCCTTATTATTACAATTTACTTTTGAATTTTTTGTTTTTAGGTTGTGCAAATATTATATTTTGTTAAAGGTTTTGCTTGGTTAAAAATTACTAAATAAGATCTTACATTTTCATTTAAGTTTGGTTTCATTTTTTTCTCGGGCTTATGAATTTTTTTGCTGGGCCACAATTTTACGGACTACTTATGATAAAAACTTCTACTTTTTACTTTTTAACTTTTTTTAAATTTCATTTGTATACACACAAAAGTTAATAAGTAGCGATCATTTCTTTAGGGTGTCAAATTAGACTGACAAAAGAGTTAAATGGGATGGAATTTCAACTTCCTCAAGCTACCCGAAATTTCTACGTGGACGGCCACATTCCAAAACCTCACTAGCATATTTTATTTTCTAGTAACTTTTAACGTTTTTTTATAGTTTCGTTAGTAATTATTGGTATAAAAGTAATTTTTACTTGATAATATCCCAAATAGTTTATGAATTACACTATTTTTTAGAATTTAAGTGTTTTTGTTTAGCTTTACTGGTAAATCCTAAATTACTTTTAAAAGTGATTTACTTAGGAAATTAATAAAAATAATTTTTATTTGATTATTATTATTTAAAAAATTAATTAAATTATTAATGGTTTAAACTTATTTAAAAATATTACAAATTTGATAAATGTTAAAATTTATTGAAGTTTTTTAGTAATTTGAGTGTTAAAATTTTTATTTTTTTTTAATGACCGAGTATTTTTTGTAGCATTAATAATAAATTAGTTATAAATTTTTAAAAGTAATTTACCGAAATTATTAAAAGTTTTTTTATTTTATCAATTAATTTATCGCTATTTCTTTAAAAATAACTTTGAAAGTAATTTTTAAATGTTTTATACTTCTACTTTAGAAGTAAATTTAACTTTGCGCAAAGACTTAAGAGTTGTGCGATTTCAACTTCTCCGCGGCTCGACGACCCTTTTAGTATTTTTTTCGCTAGCGCAATGGCGGGAGTATAAGAAGATTCGTCTACTTTTTCCATTTCCTGCTCAATATTTAATAAACTTTGTGTATTACTGTAAAAATCAGATTTTAAAATTTTTTAAATTTTTAGTTTTTAAGAACCAAATTTTAAAAAGATTAGTTTATAATAAAAAAATAGAAATAATAAATCCATAATAAAGTGACGAAAAGAACTTTAAAAAATAATTTAAAAAATTTATTCAATTTTTAAGCAATATTTGGAATGATGTCAAAACGATTTATTAATGAAATTCAAAAGATAACGTTATATTAAGAATATAATAGAAAAGATAAATTCATGATAAAGTAATGAATAGAACTTTAAAGAATAAAGTAAATTTAATTATTTATAAATTAATAATAATTGAATTTTATAAAAAAATTATAAAAAAATTAAATAAACATTTATAAAGTTTAAACTATCAGACAACACATTAACGTTTTAATTAATATAAAAAATTACTAGAAAACATTTTAAAAAAGAAAAATGGGAAAGTTGAATTAATAGTAAATTTAGTTTTTATTTATTTTATTAAATAAAAAGTATTGAAAAAAAATAAAATGAAAATTTATATATTTGTATTTAATTTTTTTTTAAAAAATATTTAAATATAAAAATGATTTACTGAAAATAATAATCTAAAAATTTTAGTTTGTGCTGCTTAAAAAAATTTATACTTTTGAATTTAAAATTAATGATTTATTTCCCGAAATATCACTTATACTTTTAATAATAATTATATACTAAACTTTTTATATTAACATTATAAAAGTATTTATTTACCGGGACTTATATCTAAAGAAACTTTTACTGTGGAAATTAGATTTTTTTGCAAAATATTAAATTTTTTTTTAAAAAATGAAACCGTTTTACAATATTTTTATGTCAAAAAATAATAATGAAAGCTTGATAATATTAACTTTATATAAAAAAATAATCATAACTTCTAAAAAAAACTTAATACTGTCAACTTTTTTTTTTAAAAAAAGTAAAAGCTTAATGTTATTGGTGTTAGTTGCAATATATATTTTTTTGGGTATTGAGAATGGAAAGCAAAACTTTTACTATAAAAAATTTAGCAAAAAACTTTCTTTTAGCGGTTTTCAATATTTTTGAAACATGTTTAAAAAAATATGAATACTCACAGAAACTTGGGTTCCAACAAATGTCGAACATAAAAAACTTTTTGCTATTTTTTTAAAGCACATTTATTACTTTATAATTTATAAAAAAAAGCACAACTTTCCTAGTTTTTTTTTATAATTTATTGAAAAAACTATTTTAACTTTTTATATAATTGCAAAATAATGATAAAGAAAACTTTTATTGTTATTATATTCATACTTATATTTTTTATTATATAATACGCAAAATGTTTATTATTGGAATAAGCAAGATGCATTACTATATCTAACTTAAAAGGTTTTTTCAAAGAAATGCTAAAGAAAATAAACAACATATTTTCACTAAGTTTTCTTAATTAATAATTTTGGGTAATTTATATAGTAAAGGCGCCTACTTTTAAATTTAGATAACTTTTATAAAAGAACCAATCAAAGATTTTATAATAAGAACGCCTCTATTAGTCAATAATATAACGAAATTGGTACCTTTTCGGCTCGGAATAACGATTCTGTAATAATATCTTTTAAAACCGGTTTACTTTCTCGAGCTACAAGAGCAATCTTGCTTATATCATTAAAAAACTTGGCGTGAGGCTCGCAGTTTGCATATAAAAGCTGGTAGTTAATACCTGAGAGAAAAGTTTTATAGTTGTCGAAGATAAACTGATAAGTAAATATTAACGGTATTGTATTTTTTATATGTAACTCGACTTATTTTTTTCCTATAAAACGGTAGTAGAAAAGTTTTACTTTTGAAGTAAATACTTTTTAAATATTTTTTTAATTATTATATTTCATTTATATCTGAAATCTGCGCGCTTGAAATATATTTTAATATACTTTAATAAAGTCAATTTTTTTTGTGCTACTAATAAATTTGTAGATCAATAATATTAACCAAAAGTGATTAATAATAAAAATTGTATAAAAAACCGTTTCTCCCGGACCGACCAGCCCGACCGGCGCGATGAATATAATTTTCGATCGAGCTTACAGCCGATGGCGTCTGAATTACCATATCGCACGCCTTTTTTTAAAAAAATAAGTTGTTGGTCGTATATATCATAAAAATTTTAATTAAGAATTTTTTTTAAACATAACCAATGGTATAGTTAAGAAATAATTTAAAAAAAGTGTAAAAAATGACTAAGTTTATAATTTTTTAAATATTTTCTCTTTTTCATATAAAAAAGGAGTTAGAAAGTTTTCAACCATTATAAATTTTTGTGCAAATATAAGTTAATTATAGAATGTATGAAAATATATTAATATTTCAGCGGAAATTTAAAAAATTTATAAATATGCATTTTTATAAAAAAAAACTTTAAATAAAGTTTATAAATAATTACAGTCAATATACCCTAAAAGTAATAATATATGTAGAAAATAAATACTTCAACCTTTATAAATATTATTTACCTTATATTTGAAAAATAAAAGTAAACTTCTCATTATACTTATATTTATATAAACTGAAAAACATTGAGTTAAGAAAATTTATATATTAACTTTTTACCGCTTTTAAACAATAATCATATAAAACAATTACTATAAGTATATATAATTAAAAAACTAAAAAAAACAAAAGTATTAATATTATCACTAGCAAAATAATAAATTATAACTCAAAATTTATATAATACAAAAAGAAAAATTAACGGTCCACTATAAAACTTTTATATTTTGTTTATTTTTATTTATAAAAAGTAAGAGTTTTACCGGAATGTCAACGCCACGTGCAGCCAAGTCCGTCACGATTAGCAAAGGCAAATGGCCTTTTCGGAATAAAAATAAGCATCGTTCCCGTTCATTCTGTTATCATAATATAGAAAGTCAAAAAAATTTGTGAAGTAAAGTTTATAGCTTAATAAAGACTATGATAACTAATATAAATTCTAAAGTAGACCAAAATAGTATAAAATAATAATAAAAAGAAACAAAGAATTTTATGTGTAACAAAAAATTTATTATAAATATTAATAACTTAAACATTTTAAAAATTTTAAGTAGACTATAAAAATTATGAAATAATAATATATTAAAAAGAATTTTAAAAATTATTATATTTAATACAAAGTTTATTATATACAAAAAAGCAATTTTCAAACTTTTTGTTATAACAAAATATACAAAAAGTTTATAAAATAATAAAAGAAATATAAAAATAATTTACTAATGATGACTAATAATAATATTTATTAACAAAAGTATATTAATAAGCAAATATATTATAAATAATAAAAAACATTAGAAAAATATTAGAAAAACAAAAACTTCATTATAATAGTTATAATATTTTAGCAAACAATAGAAAATATAAAAATATACATAATAATGACAATAATAATAATAGTAAAACCTGCGGAATGTCTGCGTTAAGAATTAACGATTGATGGCCAAAAGAGAGAAGCTCTGAAGAAAGTTTATACCCTTCAAACTTTGTTTTAACGAATATTATGCAGCGCTGAGGGCTTTAAACTCATTAATAATATTAGAAAAATATATACAAAAAGTAAAAATATAAAAAACAAAAATAAAAAAGTATATTCAGTGATAATAATAAAAATACAAAAAGTATAAATACTAAAAATATTAAAAAGTATAATCAGTGTAAAGTAAAAATATTAAAAAAAAAAAAGAAGTAGATAAACGATAATTTAAAAATATATATCAAAAAGTAGAAAAAATATTAAACTGAGATTTTTTATAAATATATAATAGAAGCAAAAAAGTAATAATATATAAAATAATAAAGAAGTAAAAAACATCACTTTTCTATAATAATATTATTAATTAATAAAAGTTATAAAGAGAATAAGAAATTATATATTATGGAAAATAATTTAAAATTTAGTAAATATAAAAGGAATAATAATTATTTTAAAAAATGAAAAAAAAATAAAACTAAAAAAAAAGTAAAAACTTAAAAAGTAAATTATTTTTAAAGTAAATATTATATAAATATAAAAATAATAGAAGCTAATAAATAGTATAAAAAAAATTAATATAACAATATATTGAAAATAATATCACGTGATTAATTATAAATGATTTAAAAATAAAAAGAAAATTTGATAATATGCATAATGGAGTAATAAATAATTATAACCAACAAAATAATAAACTCTACAAAAACAAGTGTACTTATATATAAATAATAAAATAGTAACCTTCAGCACAATAGTATAATATTAATATTATATAATAAAATTTAACAATAAATAAATAATAATTAATAATAAATAACAACTATAATACAAAAGAAAAAAATTAATAAAAATGAATAGTATAATAATAATAAATTATGTATAAATTATAGAAAAACAAAATAATATTAAGAAAAAATTGTAATATTGTAAACTTTAGAACAACAAAAATATAATGTTAATAATATATAATAATACAATGAACGTAAAATAATTTTATAAATAAAATAAGTTACAGAATGACAATAATGATTGTAATAAGTATAATAATAGTAATATAGTAAACGAAAGATTAAGAAAAGTGTGTAATAATAGATAACATAGTCAAAGTATAATGTATAACAATAATATTTAAAGAAATATAACGTTAATATAATAATAAAAGTATTAAAAATAATAATACTAACTATAATAATAATTTAATAAAAGTACAAAGTATAATAATAAATAATATAATAGCAAACTATAGAATAGTAACAACAAGCATTCAATATATAATAATATAAACTATATAATAATAATAGTATAGTAAAGGATATAATGTATTAATAAATAAAAAATAATAACTATAAAATGATAAGTATTAATAATAGATAGTATAAACTTTTTAAACAATATAATATGAATATAGTATAAGTAAAAATATTAAACTATTAAATAATAATAAGTATTAATCAAATAAAGTAATAATAATATAATAAAATGAAAAATAGTAAACTTTATTTAATATTGAGTATTAATAAAAAAATCAATAATAATAGTATAATAAAGTAGAAATATGAAAAGATCACCATTTTAGCCGAAGAAGGTCGGATATTACCAGCTTCATTTCTTTCTCAGATACTAAAACTACTCGATGCAGAAGCTAAAAATGGTTTATTTTTTTATGGATATTGAAATAGTGAACTCCAATAAATATCAAGAACAAAGCTAAAAAAATAATTTTACTTAATTAGTAGCAAAAATAAAAAATGAAAATTATGTAAATTAATTTTTATAAAATATAAAAAAAACACTCAAGAAAAATGTAAGCCCATAAACTAAATAGAAAACTAAAAATATTTTTATTTCTATTTATTAGTAGCAAAAAATATAAAAATAAATTATGTTTTCAAAAATTAAAACTCATTTCTTATATAGACAACTAAAAAATATTTTGTTTACATTATTAGTAATAAAAATAAAAAAATATTTTTTTCTATATTTGAAAAATATTCTTTTTTAAAGTGTTAATAAAACTATTAAAGAAAATTAATTCTACTTCATAAGCAGAAGAAATAAAAAGAAAATTTTTTTAAAAAAATTATATTTACTAAACTTCATTAGTAGCAAAGAAAGCGAATTATATATTTTTTTACTTCGTAAGTCATAAGAAAACTTAAAAAGTATATTTAATATATACAAAACAAATGTTTGTATGTAAAAAGTTACAAAAAAAATAAAAAATAAAATAAAATTGTCAGAAAAAACAATATGCATAAACAATTATACTTTCAATTTTTTTTTTTTTTTACTTAAAATGATAAAAGTTTTATGTTATTCTTCGACAAACTCAAAAAATATTAAAAAAGGATACAATTTATATATAAATATACTTGCCTGCTTCGGAGCGATGGTCCCCGTAAGCGCTTTCATATCGATAAACTTTCCTTTGGTGACGTATTTGTTAGCCAACTCTCTAAAAATATGTATATAATTATTAAAAAATAATAAAAGTTGGTAAAGTCGTTATAAATATATATATTAATATAATAAAAATATTATAAAATAATATAAAATTTAATAATAATAAATAAATAATAAAAGTTTATATGAAAAGTTTCAAGTCGATAAAGTTATTATAAATAAATATATGTATAAGTATAATCGGATAACAAAAATAATATAAAACTTAAAAATTTATATATATAAAAAGTTTCGACTTTATATGATCTGGGATAGTTGCGCTGAACAACATTAACTGCCGATTGCGAGACGTACGCAACAAGAGATCTTCAATAATATTGCTGTAAGATTATAATATTACTATTATTATAAAGACCACTTTTTATAAATATATAAAAATAAAAAGTAATTTAAATAATATTAACAAAAATATATTTATTTATATGTACTTGTATCACATAGAATATTAAATTTAATATATAATTATTACTATAAACAATACTATAATAAATGTTTTATTAAAAAGTAGATTTGTATAATGCATAGTTACTGCGGGAAGAATAAATATATGTGTGATGTTCATGTGAAAAACACCAGTTTTGTTATAAAACAAACTTTTGTGCAGCGACTAGCACTAAACTTTATAATAAAGCATTATTAGAGTCATAATAATAATAAAAACGAGAGCCCACATGCGTGTATAACTAATGTGTACTCCAAAAAAGGAAATGGTCGTCCAACCACGGGTTTTGCTACAAGTCGTTGCAATGAGCGCTTGTATAGTTTGTTTTTTTAACTTATTTTTAATAAACTCTCTACTTTTACACTTTTATTTGCTACCTTATGCTTTAACTATTTTGAACTATAATATTTTTGATAATATTTACTTTATTATGCATAAATATTTAATGTTATGACATTAATACTAAACAATAACAAACGAAATATTCCCGGCGTTTTTATATTAATAAAACGAACTAAAATGTCATTTAATAATATTCTGCATTATTACTTTCATTATTTATAAGGAAAACGAAACGAGGGAAGAGTTTTCGTGTTTTTCTGGTAAATAAAAATAATGAAATTATTAGATTCTATCAGATCCTTCTTATCATTATTTTCACTGCTTTTCCTTTTTTTATTAAAAAAAAAAGCTGCGAGTTGGTCTCTTAGTAAACTCTTTTTCATTTTTTTTTTGTAAAGTTTAAAGCGTATGCAGCGTCATTATTTAATTTTTCTTTTTTTTTTTTTATTGAAACTTATTCTCATTAATATTTATATCAGACCCTCTTTTTTTTCTTGCAGTCAATAGGAAACTAAAAACGATTGCCACTGGAATTTCCAAGTGTTGCACTTCCCTTCAAAACTTCATTAATAAATTCTATACAAAACTTTCATAAATGTTATGAAAGTTCAGTTTTAATAACACTTTCCTATATTTATTATACGTTTACATATGATAATACTATTATTATATAACTTTTATATTCATATTTTTTGTATGAGTTGTGTATATACATATATATTTCGTCATAAAAAATATTTTCAGAAAAATATATATGATGGTTACTTCGTTACTAAACTTAATCAAGTTATTATAAGATATATAACGTTAATAAAGTTTCATAATCCTTTCATATGTATTTTGTGATATTATTATTAAAATACAACTTTTTTCTTTTTATAACTATATTATATAAATCATATTAATAAAAAAAATACATTAAAACAAAAAACAAATCATGGCTGTGCCTTTTATTATATTTATAATAATAATTTCTATTCTGATTAATATTCATATTTAGAAGTGAATTATAAAAATAACAATTATAGAAAATGATTATTTAGAAGTAAACAAAAAGCATTTATTATAGTTTACTTTGTATTATATTTATAAAATAATTAAAAGTGATAATAATTTTTATTTAGTAACTTTTGTAAAAATTCATTTTATAAGCATATTATGTTACTAATTATTTAAAAATATAATAAACAAAAGTAGACATGGTTCACTTTTTTATTATATTGCTAAAAAAATAATAATATTGACATTCAATTGCTATATATTTAAATATACTTGTTCATAGAAAAACGAACTCCAAAGCTTATATTAAATATAAATTTAATATTCACAAGAAAAATATAAACTTCATAGTAATAGAAAAAAAATAAAATTTTATGATAATAAAAAGTAAATTGAAAATTTATGTATTAATAGTAATAATAATTTGATTTTGTTATGTAATCATATTATTACTTAAAAATAATATTAAGGAAGTAATATATAATATTTAATAAATATTATTATAAAGAATTATAAAAAAAGTATATAATATTAAATAAACCAATATGATTAACTTTTACTGATTAACAAAATTATATATGGAAATATTTAATTGTTCTTATCTAAAATAATATATAGATAATTAGTAAATAATTAATATTTAATATAATTATCTTAAACAAAAAAATATATATTTAAACTGAAACTAAATTTATATAATAATTATGTATGCTTCGTATAAAGTAATAGTAATAAGAATTAAACTAGGTATGCCTAACTTTATATAAATTAATTATAAAATAATTAATAATAATTATAATAAAACGAAAGTAAATAATAATAAACAAACTATATTCGCTCAACTTTAAATAAAAAAAAAAATTAATAATAAAATAATTATAATAATAATACAACTAAATATGCTCAACTTTAATTCTAAAATAAAAAATATTTAATAAAATTAATTAATAAATAAATAATAAAAGTATATTATAATAATAACTAAATACACTCAAATTTAACGAAATGGATTATAAAATAAATAAATTTAATATTAAAAATAAATTTAGTACATAATAATTAGTTCAACGCAAAAGTTAGGAAGTCTATTATAAATAAAATAAAGTAAAGTAATAAATTTAAATGAAATTAACTAAAATTTACTTTTTTAAAAAAAGCAAAAAAACAGTAAATATTAATATGAAATATTACTAAATTTTACATGAAAAATTTTAGATTATAATTATTAATAAATTCAAGGCAATAGTTAAATAAGTTTTTAATTAAAATAAAAAGTCGATAATAAAATTAACTAATTTTTATAAATAAAATAATTTATTATTAATATAATAAAGTAAATGAAAGCATAAAATATATATAAAATGTACTAAACTTTAAGGATAGAATAAATCTTGATAATAAAAATATTCAGTTTAATGCAAAATTTAATAAGTTTTTAATAAATATAATTAGAAGTCATAATAAAATTTACTCATAAGAATAAAATAAAAAAATATTATTATAGAAATAATAAAGCAAAAAAAAAATAAATATAATAAACTTAATATTAAAAATTCAGTAGTTCAAAGCAAAAGTTAATAAGTTTATTATAAAAATATTATAAGTAAAAAAAATTAAATATATTCAAAATATAATAAAGCAATGAGAAGTAAATAATGAAATATAAAATATGCTAAACAATAATTATTATAATAAGAAATAACGGACAGCGTGCCGGCATCCACCATGAGGTCGGCCTCGTCAATAACGAAGGTATCAATTTTAGATAAATGCAAAGAGCCTATTTTTAAATGTTCCGAAACTCTTCCTAAGCTGCCAATCACAACGTCAACGCCATTCTTAAGTGCAAGTTTCTTTTTTTTTTAACGAATAAAATAATTAACATTCGATAACATAAAAAGTTCAATAAAAGTTAATGAGTAGTAATAATATATAAAAAGTAGGAAAGTATTATATTAATAAGAAATATATAATATAAAGAAGAAAAGTAAATAGAAAAAAATATAAAACTGATGGTTGGTAATGGGAAGAATAAAAAAATAATACCAAAACTATAATAAAAAAAAGTTCTCGATAGTATTAAAAAATAAAAAAAATACAATAAAGATATTAAAATTTTGTGGTAAAAAGTTCTTATTGTTTTTTTAAAAATTATCATACTCAAATAATATTAATGAAAAAAAACTAAAAAAAATAAACTGTAAAAAAATCTCCGAAAATGTTTCTTTCTGGTTTTTTATAAAAAAAATAATAACTAATCAAAACAAAAAAGGATTACAGAAATATTCAGTCAGAAAAAGTCTTTTTTTTTATAAAAAATGCTATAAAAATGTAAAAAATTTTAAAATTTTGTTTTACATGGATAACCACAATACGATATTATAAAAACCTAAAAAAAGTACAATAAAATTATTGTTATTCCTTGTGAAAAAAATTTATATCATTTAAAAATTAATAACAAATCGGTAATTTTCAAAAAAAAAGATAAAAATTTATAAGATATTCAAAATTCTCATATATTTTTTTTTATTAAAAAAATATAAATTAAAAAATGCAATAAAATTATATATTTTTAAAAAAAAGTTTTCTGTTTTATATTAAAAAAATAACAACTAAAAATTTTTATTAGTATGTAAAAGAATAATAATGATAATGATTAAGAAAAATAAAAAAAAGGTATAACAAAAATATTTAAAATTCTCACTTAAAAGTTTCTTTATGTTTTCTAATAAAAATTATAAAATTTCTCAAAACTTTTTTATATCGTATTAAAAAATAATATCAAAGCGATAATATGTTAAAAAAAATTAGAAAATTCAAATTTCTCACAAAAAGTTTCTTCCAGTTTTATAAAGAATAATAATAGACGATAAAAAAAATAATTTTTTAAGTTTCTTTATTAATTCTATAAAAAAATTTCAGTCGCTCATTTTTAAAAAAAATAAAAATAGAAAAAATTTTGTTTTATAATAAATAGTAACAATCGATAATATATATAGAAATAAATATAAAAGTACAATAAAATTAATATTTATAAAAGTTTCTTTATTTTTTATTTATATAAAAAAATAATAACAATCGCTAATATTAAAAAAAAAATAATAATAATAAAAGTATTGTATATTATAAATAATAAAACAATATATAAACAGTACAGTAATGAAATTAAAATCTTTTCAAGGTTCTTTATTTTTATATAAATAATAACAATCGATTTTATTTTAAAAAGATATAAATAAGTAAAGTTTTCTTTTATTATGATAATCGATAATATTTAAAAAATAATAAATTTAAAAGTACAATAATGATATTAAAATATTATCTAGTTGTCATATTTTTATATATTAAAATAATAGCAATCGCTATTTTTTTAAAAATTTATTTATATATGGAAAGTTTTCTTTTATTATAAAAGTAACAACCAATAATACATTTAAAAATATATAAAAAAGTACAATAACGATATTAAAATCTTTTCAAGTTTCTTTATTTTTTTTACATAAAAAAATAATATTGATAGAAAAGAACTACTTAATAAAAGTTCAAGAAAAAAGTAATATATCTCAAAAGGCAAATATTATATTTTTTATTAAAATAAAATTTTCTTAAAACGTAAATTTATTTTTAATTAATAAAATTTCAAAAAAAGGAAGAAAAAAGTTAAAACATAAAATTTCTCCAAAAAAATATAAACTTAAAAATGGGTTACGTAAATTTACTAAATAAAAGTTATTTTATAGATAAAATAAGAATATAATAATATTTCCTAAATACAAATATAATAATAAAATAAATTTATAAATTTAAAAAAAGATTTATATTAAAGTATTATTAAAAAATAATAAAAACTTAAAAAACTTTAATAATAACTAAAAAGAATAAATTCAATAAGTATATTTTTCTATTAAAAATTTTCTAAAAATTAAATTTTCAATATTGGCAAAACGTACAAATAATTAATAATTTATTGTTAAATTCATAAATCACTCAAACTTTAAAAATAATAAAAACGTAAAACAATTGATTCATTGAATGAATTTTAAAATAAAAAAGTTACATATATAATTTTATAATACATTTAAGTAAATTTATTTAAAAAAAAAAAGTAAATTTAAATTTAGACGAATAAGAAATTCTTATTTAAAAGTTTATATGGTAAGAAGTTTAGAGGAGGAGCCCAAGTAAATTTTATAATAAAGAATAAACAAAAAGTAAAAAAAAATATTTCAATAAAAAAAAATTGAAAACCGTCAATAATTAGGTTATAAATTTATAAATTTTTTAAAATCTCAAAAATTTTTTTTTCATGCCATTTATAAATTTTTCTAAATGATAATATTTACAATAAAATAAAGTAAAAGTAGATTAAAAAAAAATAAATTACTTTATTGCAACAAAAATGATTTAAAAGTATAAGATTTCATAAATATATGAATTATTTTAAAAAATTATAACAAAAGTAAAAAAAAGATTATAATTTTAAATTTATAACAAAAGTATAAAAAGTTTTTATTAAAGTAAAAATTTAAATTATTCTTTAGAAATTCTAACTTGGAAAAAAAATATAATAACATCGGAAAATTTATTTACTATAAAAAGTATAAAATATTTTAATAAAAGTTTACAAAAAAAATTAAAGTAGAAAAATTAAAAAAAAATATAAATCGTTTTGAAAATAAGCATAAAAAGTATATAATAAAAATTTAGAAAATAAATTTTCGAAGAAATTTTTAAAAATGTTTAAAATATAAACATAAAAAAAAGGAGTAGAAAAAAAAAAAGATTTTAATAAAAGTTTTAAGTTTGAGTAAAATTTAAAAAAAAGATAAAACATATATTTTAAAAAGTATCATAAAACATATATAACTATAAAGTTGTTAATAAATATTATTCGTTTTAAAAATTTAATTATTAATAAAATTTTAAAAATTAAAAATTATAATAAATTTTACATTTACATGTAAATAATAATTTTTAAAAAAAAAAATAGTTAATCAATAGAAACTAAATATCGTAAAAAAGATGTTAATAAAAATTATTTCATATAAAATTTAATATCGTAAAATTAAAAAATTTGAAAATGCTAAAATATAGTAAAAAGTTGTTACTATATTTAATATAATAAAATAAAAAATAAATAGTTATAAATTATTACATATAAAAATAAATTTATAAAGAAGACAGTTATACAATAAAAACTAAAATATACTAAAAAGAAATAATAAAATTTTTTTAATGGGAAATCAAAATTAAACTTTAAAATTTATAATTAATATAAAATAAATAATTATTACAAAAAAAAGTAAAGTAAATTTTGTTTGAAAAAATAACATTTCTTTTAATTATTTTATAATATAAAAGTAAATTTATTAATAAAGAAGTTTCTACCAATAAAAAAATAACAAATAAATTTATTCAAAATTATAATCATAAATAATAAAAATTATAAGAAAAAAATTTTAATAAAATCTTGTCTTTAAAAATAAAATAATTTTTTTAAACTTTAAAGTTTAGCATAATAAATTTTAACAACAAATTGTTTGAAAGAATAAAAAAAACTTTTTTATTTAATATAGGTAACAGGCACTTCAATTATTTTAAAAATAGTCTACAAAAATTTTATAACAATAAAAAAATTAACTAGAGAGTAAAACAGATCTTTTAATTCTAAAAATAAAAAAATATTTTACATAATTCTCTGAAAGTAAATTAACTAAAAAAGTCGAACTGAATTGATTTAAAAAACTTTAACAATTTGAAATGTATATATAAAAATATTATAAAGTAAATTAAAAAATAAATTAAAATAATTAATAGGTAAGGTTCAAGAAGCAAAATTATATTTAAAAAAAAAAAATTGGAACAAATTTATATAATTTAGTAATAATATGCGTGCTGTAAAAAAAAATTAAAGTATAAAATGTTTTCTACAAAATTTTGAATAAAAAATAATTTCAGATTTTTTTCAAAGAAATTAATAATTATAAGTTGAAAATAACAGAAATATATTTAAATAAAATATATGTATTATTTTTAACTTATACAAAGAAAAAGTTATGAATTTATTAGGAAAATCTGTTATATTGCTAGAAAAAAAAAGATAACTGCAAAAATCTAAGAGATCTATAACAAATTAATAATTTTTATAGAAAAAAAAATTAAAAAGTTCCTATTTAAAAAATTGAAATTAAAATTTTTAAATTAAAATTTTAATTTACTTGAGAATTAAAGTCTGTTGCTCCTGTAAGAATAGCGACTTTTATAAAAGGAGAAAGAGAGTGAAGTTCTCCATAGACTTGAAAGCATAAACTTCTTGTAGGGAGTAATATTATTGCTTTCGGTTTTTTGCGAGGATTAAATCTAAAAAAAAAAATTGACTTCGCCTTTTCTTAAAAAAATTAAATTATATATAATTTTTAATTATAACTGTAACATGTCAGTTTAAAAATTTAGGTGACTTATTTGTGCTACAAACTTTGTGAATCCCAACTCAATTTTCTGAACGATCGGTAATAAGTAAGCCAAAGTTTTTCCAGATCCTTAAAGAAAATTTAATTTATCGCATTTAATTGCTAATTAAATTTTTTTAAAAAATATTTTTCTCTGTAAATAGTAAAATTCATTGCTGATTTAAATTTAATAATAATAAAAAAATGAAAAGAAGACCTGTTTCTGCTTGTACTACTACACTTAAACCAGCCAAAGTGTCTTTCAGTGAGTGAAACTGAACAGGAGTCGGCCGCGAAAATTCTAACGCAGTTAATCTCTCAAATAAAAAATCTTCTACATTCAAATCAGCAAAACTGTAATTTTCCGAAGTTGACGAAGAGCCTCCAGTTTTTGGCTTGCTTAACTCGTTTGATGTTAAAGAATTACGACTTTCATTTTTATCATTTAAAAAGTTGCTTCTACTTTTATCAGAGTGCTCGATTTCAATATTATTTTTATTACTATTATCACTACTAGTACTAATATGAGGAGTGGTAATAGTATCAGAATTATGAAGAGTATTATTAGCGTTACTAGAGCTGTGGATAGTCGATTTAGTAAGAGAATTGTTATTATTATATTTATTGTCACGGCTACGAATCACACTATCATTAATATATTTATTATTAGCGTCAGTATTAATATTAATGTAATTATGATCACGATAACCTTTAGCGTGGGTATTACTAATAAAATTTACTTCCGTTGAACCCGTAGTATTATTAAGCTCTTCAGCCTTATTAATTCTGTTTTTAATCTCAGTAGTACTATTAGTAGTGTTACTGTTATTAATTTTATTGTTGTTAGAATGATTACGAGTAACTTTACGTTTATACTTCAACTTAGTTCTGTGAAGATCATTGTTATAATTATAATAAGAATTGGCTTTGTTAAATGTTATAGTTTTAGTGCTTTGAGTTAAAACAGTAGTAGCGTCATCAGCAGTATTAGAAATAGAGTCACTTTTGGGGTTACAATCAGTGTTAGTAAAAGTTTTCACAGGAGTGTTTGCTTTAATTTTAACGTTATCACAAGTAATGACTGTTGTAGTACTTGTGCCGTTATTTGCAATGTTAGTGTTAGTAATCAAACTAGAATTACTTGTACTGCAAGACACAGCTTTACTGCTCAAAGTTAATTCACTAGTGGCATTCTTATTTTCAGTATGAACACTATTAACAATTGGTTTAATACGAATTTCACAGGTATCAGCAGTTGAAGCAGAATCAGTACTATTGGTGTTAGTACGGGAATTAGAGACATTTACTTCAAGAGTGTTCTTAATAAAAGAGATAATAGGTGACGAGCTTAACTTATGTAAAAACTTGTCTACTAAATTTCCGTTCAGTGAGCCTAAAGGTTGACGACGAGCAATACTAGTGTAAAAAATAGTTGAAATTTTATGAACGTGATATATTAAACAATGCCAAAACCTTTTTAAAATAATAGGATTTCCAGTATACAGACTGGTAAAAGTTTTAATGTATCGACTATTAGAGAAATAGCTAAACCTTAACCCAGTCATACCGCAAGCAATTCCAATAAAGTAACAGAAAATAAGATACCAGTTTATTATGGGAAAGTCTAAGGTTAATAAAATTATCGTGTGAGGCTGCTCTTAAAAATTGTCAACAGCCACCGTATTAAAGTAAAATTAACAATAAAACGACTTTTTACTAAATTTTTTGGTCTAAAAGTTCCCGACCATTAATAATTGCATTTTCAATTTCTTGATACCTTTATGAAAAAAAATATATTCTTATTTAACTCTACAGCTAAAACAAAACAAAAAGTTTTAAGTTTCGGAAACCCCCACGTAGGCCGCCATTGCATTCAAAATTTGACTTCCTTTAAGCGGCTGTGATAATGCGCTAAATAACTTCTTCATTTCACAGTTGCTAATGCAGGGCAGTGTCAGTTTGTTCGGAAGGCTCCGCATCTATGCTCACAGAATATGTATCAGCTCGCTAAGAAAGCATTCAGGACGGTAATTTAGGTTGCCAACCTACGTTAAAATCCCCTTGCAATACGTCAGTAGTGAACTCAAAATAATATTTTAAGTTTGTAACACTCGGAGTGGATTCATTAAAGTAATTGGAAAAACGGCCTCAAATGCAGGCGGAAGGCAAATTGTTATTTATGACTTCAGTAGTCGGTGCGTCTTTTGGAAACGCTTTAAAACTGTGAATGCGGTCGTTTGAAAGATTAGGCTGCTCCTAGAGGAAGGCTTCTAGTATAAAATCTCATAAAAATGGATTTTTTTTAAAAAAGACCGAAGCCCTTCTATATATGTATATATAATTATTTCGGAAAAGGCCAGAGTAGGACAGTTTTTAGCAATGTCTGATAATAAAAAATTGTCGGTATAACAAGGTCCTTTTTATAAAGAATTGCAGTTATTAGTTATTCACTTTTTTTTGTTACACATTTAAGTCTATTCTGCGCTAATGGTGCACCATCTTCTGTTCTACACCTATACTATAAATTACTAACCTAAACTTCCTCTATAACAGAATTAACATCGAAAGATGTTTAAAAAAAGTGAGCAAAAGGACAAGTTAATATTTAATAAAATTATTAATATAAATCGTTGCTAATAGCAAGTCCATAAATCTTTGCGTAAAAATACTTAGTTTTATAAATCTGTATATAGCAGCTAAAATTAAATAAAAATTATCAATTGGGTAATAGGTTTGTCAACATTATTAATATTAACAACAATAAATCCTATCCTTTAGTAAATTTAAAATCCCTAAACTCGTGCAGATACATAAAATACTTAAAAAATAAGCTTTTATCAAAAAGCAAACTTATAAAAAATTTATATAAAATTATTTACAAGGAAAACAAATCAAACTTTATTTTATATAATAGAAGAAACCCCAAAAAATTGATCTTACAATCGTGCAGAACTTAAAATCTTTATGTAAATTGAATTAATTATTTTTTGCTTCTTTCTCGGCTTCGACTACGGCGAACTCTCTCGCGACTTCTAGTTCTATAAATGTTAATTGTACGAGTAATTATAAAGTATTAAAATATTAAATTTTTTGTTTAAAAAAACTGAAAAAAACGATGAATAAGAATTAATAAAAATATTTACAATTAGAAAAAATATTTTTATAAAGCAGATAATATAATTTGATAAAAAATAATTCATAACAAACAAATTCAGTTAATAAAATTACAAATATAGAGCTTACTAAAAAAATATTTTTAGTACTACATTTATTTTGTAGAGTTTCAAGACTCAAATTTTTAAGTAAATAATTTTGGCCATTAAAATTTTTTAAAATAAAAATATTAATCCGTTTTCGCTGGTAAGATTAAGATTGATTATATGATACAAAGTTTAATACTCGTACAAATATATTTAATAAAATTATTTAAAAATCCCTTAAAAAACTTTTTAAATTAAAAACCAATTAAAAACTAAAAGAAAATAATTGTGAGCCAATCTTCAAACCTGCTACGCCGCGTGCGATGCCGATCTCGAGATTTTCTTTTATGACTTTTACTACGCCGTCGTTCATTTCGATTGGAACTACGGCTTCGAGTTCGATCCCGATGTCGACTGCGAGCTCTAGGACGGTCCCGATCCCGATCCTTCCGACGGTCGCGGCTCTGGCTTCTATTTTTTTTTGGTACATCACTTTCTTTTTCTTTTAAAGGTTCGTTTTCAACTACTTCTTCTTCCTTTATAAGTAAAATATTTATTATATACAAAATAATAAAAGCAAACGTATATGCTATAAAAAATTAAAAATAATTTATAAAATATATTTCTTTGATTGAAAAATTTGTAGTGTTAGAAATTTATGTAAACTTTGTTTACTATATAGTGAAAAAAGTACTTCTACTTAATAATGATAACGAATCAAAGCTTAAAATAAAGTAAAGGTAATTGTTACCGTAAAAATTAGACGAATGATTAAATAAAAAGTTATCAAAAAATTATTCTTTTATAAAAATTAATCAAAATAGCTCTCGACATATATTTTATATGAAATAGTTTTAATAAGATTTAAAAAGTTAAAAGTAAGTTAAATATAATTAATAAAAATACATGAACTTATAAATTTTTATAAATAGCGTTAAATGATATAAATTTTTATTAAGTCTAAAAAAAATTTATTTTTTTTTAAAATAAAAAATTAATTTAGAAGTGACATATATAAAGAATAACGTATTTATCAGCTTCACTCTCGGACATCCACGGATTCTCTTGAAGTTTTTCGGTGATTATTTTTGCGATGGGGACAGGAATGCGCGGGAGAATAGTCGTAAAATACTTTTGATCTTGTAATAATTGCCGGCAAAACTGACCAATGCAGCTAAATAATAATTAATTTATTTTTTTTAAAGTTATTATACATTATTAATATAAAAATATAAGAGTCTAAATAAAAAGGTATAAAATAAAATAAATAAAAAATTAGAGTTAAACATGGAAACTTTATAAAAAATAATTTATATTAAAATTTAGACAGAAAGTTGCTTAAATATATATATATAATGGTATAATAAATTTTAGTATAAAATTAGTATATAATAAATAAATTTGGACTATTTTTTTTGCCTTAAAAAAAAATTTTAAATTTATTTACTAGATTAATAAAAAGTAGAATTAACTTAACTTAACATAATATATACTGAACGTGCGAATAAGTTTATAGAATATAAATAAGAATTAAAAAAATTTTAAAGGTTTTAAAGCAAAAAAGTACTTTATATATATATATAATATCTATTTTAAGTATATAACTTTTGCATCCTTCATTGAATTTAAATTAAACAACGATATCTATATGCACAACTTTTATAAAAAATCACTCTTGACTCTTTTAAAAAACACAAAACTTATGTATAATAAACTATCATTTAATGAATCAATGTATAAGAACATAACAATTACCACAATTCTGCTATTAAAAATTTAAAGTTAATATTCTATGCTTTATATAATTCATTGAAACGTAAAAGTTTTTATATTATTATAAAAAGGAAAGAACCCACATTTCTCGAGAGTGATGGGCCCAAGCAACCTTTATGGGTTCGTAATCATAAATGTAATCTTTAAAATAATGCCAAAGACTTTTTGGATTCAGAGCATATCGAATATAAAGAAAGCCTAAAAATATTAATATTCTTGGGTTTCAAAAATAAATAATGATAAGAATATAAATGCAAACCGATAGCTCTTATATAAGGAGAATCTTTATGGTTCAGAAGCCCCCGTAACTGTTTTTCAGTTAGCTTCATAGTAAATAATTTGTACAGCAAACAAAATGCAGAGGAAGGTTGGTTATAGTTACCGGGCATAAAAGGTTCTAATATAAAAATATAAAAGAAAAAGATGAAAATAGAAGCTATGAAATCATTATTAACACATTCTTCATACAAAAAGGGCAATAGAAGTTAGGAGAAACTTTTTACTTAGACAAAAAAAGTATGCTCCAAGCCTATTTTAACAATATATAACGCATATTTGTTATATCTGTAGTCAAGTAATGCGAGGCGTCTGAAAAATATAATAAAATACAATGAATTTTTACATTACAACTGCCATTACCTAGGTCAGTAACTTGATTATATATTTCATCAACTACTTCATGGTATGTTTTTAGGTTACTGTCCCAATATTTTCATAAAAAAAAGGCCATTATAGGTATTAAAAAATTTGGTGAATTTATTTAATATAAAAAATGAAAAAGTACAATAAATCTTCTTTAAAGTAGCGAGATGCTAATATGTTTTGATAGAGCATAGTGTTAAGGTTCATAGTCACAGGGTTACCGCACACCTCTAGAGAATTTTTTTTTTTGGACGCCATATCTCTTGCAAAACAGAGGTTAACTGAAGAATAAAAACAGTTTAAATTATAGTTAAAGTTACCTACTTTTTTTTTAATCCCTTGAAAAAAAAAATTATTTCCGACCAAAAAAGTCCGAACTACCACAGTGAGTGGGTCAAAAGCAGAGCATAACGCGTGAAGGACTGAAGGGACTAAATAGGCAAAAAACTATAATTAGTGTTAGGAAACCTAAAAAACACATGCTCCGTTGCTCTGTATTTATTTTTTTAAAATCTGAGCAACTAGACTATAACAATTTTATTTATTTTTTAAATTGTCTTAACGTAACTTTAATAAAAATAAAATTGGTTTCGAATCTAGTTATATTTATTTAAAATTAGGTCAGAACGTATGCAACATCCGTTAACTTATATTTTCGAATATTTTGTTGCTAAAATTTATTTAACGCTCACTTTCCTTGATTCTTTACAAATTACTGCTTGTGATTATATAATTTTAAGCCTTTACTCTTTTACAAAGCAATTTTAATAAAACAAATTATATAAAAATCCTTATTATTTTATTTGAGGCAAAAAAAAATTTCCACGTCATTATAGTGTACACAAAGTCAACTTTTATTGTTTACTTTTTCTAAATAGTTAACTAATTTAAAATAACAAAAAATTTTAAAGTTCGGTCTAAGAAGTGGTGTATAATAGCAAAATTATTAAATTCTTTTTGCACTAAGGGTTCCTCGTGGTGCTCGGTCGATCCACAAAACTTCAAAACATCGAGCGGAACTCGGGACTAAAAACTTTGTATTTATAACAAAAGTAAAAAGCGCATTACTGGAAATTGTTAAAATTCCAAATCACTTGCTATAACCTTTAGCAGGGGAGAACAATATCATATACATTGCGCGATAAAGGAACAACATTATTTTAATACAAAACAATAATTAAATTATGATCTCGTTAAACAAGTCGCGTTAGAAGCACAGAAGAGACAACACAAGTCTACTGTAAACAACTTTTCATTAATATTTAACCTCATTTCTTAACGAAAACAAACAGATTTATACAAAAAGAAACTTTTGTATAAGAGATATAGGACCACATCTGGGGCCGTCATCCTAAAATCAATATCATACTAAAGGACACACTCAGAGAGCTTGCATTCCGAAACGCAAACAATTTTATCAACAATACAAGCACGTTATGGAGAATCTGCTACTTAAAGAAAAAATATATATACCTGGCAAACTAATACTCCATACTGCGGGACTCCTGCACATGTTATAGGGCACAGGATAAAAAGCAAGTGGTAGAAATCGAACAGACCCGTAGTACGGGCAAGTGGTATAATAAACTCATGGTATCGTACCACGTTGTATGAACACGTAGTTTGTCAAAGCTAGCTGCAACACAGCCATATCCCACAAAATAAAGAAAAAAAAATGTAGTGCTCAGAACATTCCATATATATATAAAATTAGTTCTCGAGGGTTAAGCCCTCGTCTATACATAGAAGAAAAAGCAAAACGCATACTGTAAATCTTAACCCGATAGATAACTGAGCAGTAACCAGAAACTCATTAAAAAAAAGAGAACAAATTTTTTTTTTTACAAACACTTTTACATGTTATTTCTAGCACTAGTACGCGTAACAAAAGGGACCTCAGATGTACTTGACCTTGCCATTACAAAAAACACACGAATTGACTTCAACTTAACCACGCTGGTGGATCTCTCCGCGGAGCACTTCCCCGTGCTTTATGAAATTGCCTTTCAAGAGGTTAACTCTTTAAATTACATACGGAGGTATACGGGAATAAATTTAAGTGACTACGAAAGCCATCGAGGACAAACCAATTCCTTTGGCTCCGTCAGTTACCCTCAATGGTATGGTAACCCTCTATGAGACTACAATTATTCAATTCCGCCACAGTAACGACCCCTCCGCATAAAGCACGCTTAGCTGAGAAATAGAATATCTCCTCGACTTAAGTCGGCAGCAAAAACGTATCCGCCATAGATCCCGAAGATAAATGAATTCTTAACAAACTTGACAAAAAAGTTAAAAAATACCTCCTTAAGTTGCACAATGAAACTTGGAAATCGAAAGTTGCCGAGCTTGACTCGCAAGAAACCTCTTCCTTTGGTCCTGAAGACATAGACCGATAATAATTGAGACAATGTTAAGGCGGATCTGTTCGTGCGAAGTTTATTTAGTCACCTCCCAAGCACAGAAAATGTAGCTCCTGAGACCGAAAATACCGCTACTCGCAGTAAAAACAGATGAAATATAACTTGCGAATATACCAATACGAAAGTAGTAAGATCAATTATAAACCTTCTGCGGACTAAAAAGCACCAGGTCTTGACGGCGTAACCAACGACCTGCTTAAACACTAGCCCGAGGTAGCAATGAAGGCCTTAGGTTTCACCTATTAACTATTCTCTTAAGCTATGTACATATCCTGAATGACGGAAAACGACAGTAGTTCGTGTGCATCCCAAAATTAAAGCGGCCTCCTGCAACTCCTGAAGACTACCATCCTATTAGTCTTTTGGCATGTATTAGCGAAATAGCTGAATCTGTAATACTTGGATGATTGCGAAAGATTGTAGAGAGTACTGATTATACCCCAGAGTTTCGGTTTGGATTCCGAAGGGGTTAATCCACTACGCAGCAGCTTTTGCGTTTCTCCGACCACGTCACAAAAGGTTTTAATAACAATAAGTCGACATGTGCATAATGAAACTATCTATCCTGAAGGTAACAGGTTCGCTTCTCCACTCTTTTCTGCATCAAAGGACATCTTATGTCAGGGTGGGAAAAGCTAGCTCATCTTTAAGCGAACTGGCTATGGAAGTTCCACAAGGCTCGCTGCTATCTCCCATTTTATTTGCTTTATCACCATGTCGGACATACCCAGACCTGAGAATACCTCCACCATTTTTTTGTCACAAATTGCAGGTGATGCGGCTGTCTATGCTTACTTCAATTCTCCTTCACTAGCTTTAAAAATACGTGCATACGTGTGTTTCCGCACTTGATGTATGGTTTGATAAGGGGCGAATTCCAGTAAACCCCCTTAAGAACAAAGTTATATTCGTTATCGAAGAGGAGACTTAAAACGACAGCATCATTTATAACGCTTTGCGGCCAAGTCGTCCCCTAGCACACGTAAGTTAAGTACATGGGTGTTTAGATCGACAAGCAATTCTCGTGGCGCTACCACGTTGACTACCTCATCAACAAAGCGAAGTTAACAATCAAAGAACTACATACCCTCTAGTGTAGAGTTCTTTCTCAATAAGCAACAAATTTAAGCTTAATTTGCAAATTATTCCAACTTTCACTTTTGCAGCCGTGGCGTGGTCGTATGCCAGTCAACTATACATAAAACAACTTCAAGAGGTTCAAAATCGACTGTAGCGAATAATAACAGGTTCCCCATGGTTTGTTTGGGGTGCTCACTTGGATTGTGACTTGAAGTTAGAAACGCTTCCTCATTATTATTTTCGTCACATCACTGTGGAGAGCTATGATAAATATTTAGCTCATCACAAAAAAGAATTATATATTAGAGACATAACCTATGACACGGGTGCCTACACTCGTTATAGGAGGCCCCGAATCCTTTCACCGCCTTAAAGGCCTCCCAGACGTAAAGGACTTCTTTTTTATTTTGTAAATCAGATTAAGCAGTATTTTAAACCTCTTCTAATCTTGGCCTTGCTGTAGTATGTCAACTTTAAAAATAAAATAGACAGCTCGTATATAGAAGTAAAATTAGCAAGGGCGTTACCGCAATGTCAAATATAGTAATGCTGTTTCAGGATTTAATGATTTTTTCTTAAAAAAAACACAGGATTTATTTATTTAAATAACTAAGAGTTCCTCATTTTAGGTCGCATAGCGGCTTCTGCGATACTTAGCCAAACTGAGTCTTTAAAGCCTATAAAAAATTACATATTTCATTAGTAGGTTTTTGTTCGGAGTTTAATAAACTGATACAACTAATATATCCTCCTTTACTTAATGCGTACCCTCACAGCTCCTAAATTTGAAGATAACTTACCTATATAACTCAGTGTGTTGAACCTTTATTTTAACTATAACTGTAACCCTTATTTTTTTTTTCGCATTCACCCATCTGCACCTAAAAGTAAAGTAATTAGTTTAAAATTTTAATTTTCTCTTAGGTGGGACTCTCCTATAAGATTAATATTTCATGATTACATGTGATTATTTTAAATAGCTTAATTTTCCCTATGTCGCACACCCACAAAGAAAAATCCTTTTCATTTTTAAATTTGCTTACTTATTGTCTTTTGCTTTAATTAGTAATTCTCTGGTTTGGTGGTTGGTAATTACTTCATCTAGATTAGTAGTGGTAGATATTATAGTACAAGCCGCGACTTTGCGAGCATAGATCAATCCTGATTCAAAGGGATAATTTTATTTAATCCTTGCTTTGCTTTTAGCTTTCTCATACTATTTAAAAAGTGTTTTCAGGCTGAACAATACGTCCTCCATAAATGGAAGGGTGATCGCTTTAACGGCTTTTTATCTTTTCCCTTCTTGCGTTTACCTCCTGAAGGTGAAATAAAGTAGGGGCGATCAGCCTAATGTCCTGTTGAAGAAGAGTGTAGTAGTACCTTCAAGGAAGAATACTAAATGCCACACAGAAATTAAACACGAGAAATAAGCTATTATTTAAAAAGTTCATAGGTGCTACGTACCTCTAACTTATCTATAACAAAAGATGTAAACGTTTAAAAGACATAAAAATATATTATATTTACATAAAAAATTTTGAAGGATAAAAATTATATTAACCAATTAATAAGGTATTTATATCCTTTATAAATGATAATAGTTCCATATATGTAAAAACGACTTCCTGTTTATAGTACAAAGTTATTATTCGTTAAATTAATATATATATTAATTGCAGTATATAATATTTTTCTTATCAAGTTTTTTCATTTATCTATAAAAAATGTTTTTATTGGTTAAAATTATTAACCATGATTAGTTCACTTATATATCATTTTGTAGTTTACGTATTTGTGTTTTAAATTTCTTGATTTTTTGGTGTATTTGTCAATTAGCGTTTTAAGTTTTTGTGTTAAAATGCAGCCTATTCCATAAAAAATAATATAC